TATCTCACTTCTCGAGTCACCTCTAATCTCTTCTGTCGGAGCACTCTTTCTATTATCTTGTGTGTATTGTGCTTTATGTTGTGTTTATAAATATATATTTTAATTATTTTAATATGAAGACAAGGCATGCAGTGAACTAGTTTAACGTTAATCGAATAAGCACCTCAAGATGGCGCTTTTGTGCCGAAACATGTAGCGCGGGAGAAAGGAGTGAGGTAGATAAGTGTATGCACTAAAAGACGGTGAAATAAATCATGGACTTAAATCAGTGCAACAGGACGCTAAAATATAACATTAGTACATTATAGTTGTTGCTAGCAATAATTTTGCCTTTTCACTATGATAATTGACACATAAAATGAAGTATCAATTAGAAACAAAGAAATTAGGTCAAGGACTTAGAGCTATAGAATGTCTCTTCAATTTTATATTCTCTTGTTCAGAGATGTTTGAGAAATTTCTTTAACTTCAGGGGGAGTTATATTAGGATGGGCATATGACATGAAGAGGAACGCTGTGTCTTATACAAGTCACCTGGTAACATAAGGAGAGTCAAATCTGGGACACCACAGTAGGCTGGCTATGTGGGTAGGATAGGAAGAAAAGGAACACAAGAATTTTGATGGGGGGAGGCCCATAAGGTCGTGAAACGTTGGGGCTCCCACATTTTCTAGACAGTTGGCTCACAGGTGACGGTCAGGATGTCAGCTTTATGCTCAAATCGCCCTTTATGCCCAGGAAGATTCCTCGTACTCATTTCTCTTAGAGGCTGAGTTGAACCCAAGACTATAGTGCTGCTGGAAGGATTAGGTCTATTGAAAAATCCAGTAACACCGGCAGTCGAACCCACGACCTTCTGGCTTGTAACTTAATGCCTAAACCATCTGTGCTATTGCATGCCTCATTTTTGTGGGAAAACCTCTGAAAATTGACACTTTAAACACTGAGATTGGTTTGGGGGTTATAGTATTAAGGTGGGTTTTAGGGAGAGAGATTTGAAACTCACAAATGGGTGTTACTGGCATAGTATAATGTTCAGTGTTAACATTTGGTATTAGCAATGCTCAGACTTCTGGCTCTGTTACCACAATGTTAACTGCTATTCTTTGTTTATTATATAGAATTATTTTTGTTGGATCTTTCATAGTTTCATGGCCCCTAATATGACTTAAAATTCCTTTCATTTTTAGCAACATCATCACTTCTAGGAGAAGTATCTAAGGACAGATTCTTATGCTGCATTTCCTTGTTGATGGATCGGTCTGACCTTAAAGTGAACAAACCTGATAAGGATGGTCTGACAGCATTAAGCCGCACCATCATGTTTTTACGCAAGGACATGGCCCAGGCAATGTTGAAACACAAGAAACAAGGGCACCGTCTAAATGTGGACACATTCCTAGGCAGCTATTATGGAATATCTATCAGGGAAGCCATCCAGCACACATTTCCAGAATTACTGCCAGAACTTCCTCCACCACTTCAAGAAAGATCACTCTCTCCTGTTGGGGCCACTCAACTTCTGGCATCTCTTCAGAAAGGAGATTTCAATAGCTTTCAATCACTGCTTAAGAACTATTCGCTAAACCTAACTCATTGGTATGATGAACCATACCATAGTACAATTATAGAAATTGCCTGTCAACTGCAGAACAGAGAAAACTTTGTGACAGAACTGTTGAAACAAGGAGCAAACCCAAACACTATCAATCCACTTACATCACAGTCTCTACTTCATGTGACAGCAAAAAGAGGAAATACAGACATTTTGCGGATTTTGTTACATGTGCAGGGCATAAATGTAAACATTACTGATTCATATGGACGTACACCTTTGCACTGCCTTGCTGGGGTCCATTCCAGAACTGAAGCTGAATCAAGTACCCTTCAGAAGTGTATCGATTTATTACTTGGAAAATCAGAACCAATAAATAATATGACTCCAGTAGTTGACCTTCATGCTGTCACATCAACTGGGGAAACAGCGTTGCACATAGCAGCACGCATGGGAGATAGGGAAACTGTCCTGACACTTCTGAGACATGGTGCAAATATCATGCACAGTGTATCAGGACTAGACCCTCCTTTGTCACACATTGATCCCTCTGTGCTAGAGTGTTTTCTAGATGAGTGCATTGACAGCAGCGATGAGTCATCGATACAGCAGGACTATATGCTGATCTTTGATTATAATTTCTTGAATCCAATAAAAGGCGATGATGAAAACGGAACTGGAAAGAAACAGCGATATAGTGATCCAGAGATGCCAGCATTAAATTACCTCACAAGGAAAGATAGACTAAAACATTTGCTGAAACATCCAGTAATATCAAGCTTTCTGACACTGAAGTGGAGGAAAATACGTCTTGTGTACCTCATAAACTTTGTGTTTTATTGTCTATTTCTTTCAGTTCTAACTTGGTATAGTTTCCTCACAGGTAAAATTGAAGATGAAGATAATCAAGAAAGTGAGAATAAAAGTGGAAATGAAGATGAAACTCTGAAACAAAATAAGAATGACCATAATGGTAATGTCCTTGAACACATGATGGCACTTACAGCGCTCTCCACTCTCCTAGCACTCCTTGTTGTAAGAGAGACTTTTCATTTCTTTATGTCACCTAAAGCTTACCTAGAACACTCTCAGAATTGGCTCCTTTTGGTAATCATTGTAACAACTCTTAATGTCTGTGTGGATGATACGGTGCAGATATATCCAGAATGCACAGCTGTATCTCTCCTTCTAGCATGGGCTCAATTTGTTTCATTCTTAGGCGGGTTTCCTGCCTTTTCCATTCATCTTGAAATGTTAAAAACTGTAGCATGGACTTTCTTAACATTCATTATATGTTATTCTCCACTACTCTTTGCATTTGGCATAAGTTTTTACACAATGTTTCGAAACAGTGGCTCTGCTGAAGATGAGTTTTTCTCCTCAAACCTTGGTATGTCCATGCTAAAAGTTTTTATAATGTTTGCTGGTGAATTTGAGGCATCTGATATCCCATTTGAAGCTGCTCCACTCACAAGCCAGTTGGTCTTCACTGTATTTGTATTTTTGATTTCAATTGTTCTTCTAAACCTTCTCAATGGTCTGGCAGTAAGTGATGCTCAAACAATAAGAAATGATGCCAAGATACTTAGTTTAAGTGCTCGAGTGAAGTTAATATCTTACATGGAGAAAACAAACTCTAGGCGTATTCACTTCTTCTCAGTTTTTCGAAATATGCTTGATAGAAAGTTAAGAGTATTTCCAAACAGAAAGGAAGGTACAGTTGAAGTAAATGGAATTGTTATTAAGAATACATTCCTAGTCCGTGAAACGGTGCAACAAGCAATTTCTCTCATTTCTGATAGAAAGAGAAGGTCACAAGAAAATGAAAACAAATTGAAAAATGAAAGTGAAAAGCATCTGCAAAATAAACTAGCAGATATGGAAAAGTACCAGCTGGATATGAACAAGCAAATGAATGAAATAAGAATAAAGTTAGATCACCTTGATAAAGCCAACAAGGAAACACTAAACAAGCTTAATGAAATATTTGCGCTTGTGCTGCAGTCATATGACAAATGACTGCTCTGAAACAACATTCAAATATTTTATTTATTTTTCATGACACAATATATTTTGATACAAGTTATGAATATTGTAGATATGAAAATTTGCTAACAACATTTAAGCAATGTAGATACTTGGACATAAAATTATACATTCATTTATGCTTCAATTCACTTGGATTATTGTTATCTAACTAAAATAATATTTATTTTCATGTTTAATATTATTACATCTGTATTTTAGCCATATGAAACAGATTTTGGCAGATCTAATTTTTTCACAATTCTTGTTTTTCAAAGAAAATTTGGCCACTACTGATTCATCTGTAACAGTATTTATATGTGAGAAAATGGTACAGTGAACTCCATTGAAAACTGAATGCATTTTACAAGTTGCATATGAATGAGCAAGTTATTAGTTCATTTAACAGCAGTGGATATATTCACATTTCTTCCTCAGAAGAATCAACATTTTTCTATCAGAAAACTTGTATTTTTGTCATACTATTTGAAAAAACAGCATCAATTCACCATACACAGTGAAATGGTAATAAGACATGTAAGACATGTATAGCCTATATGAAGGAAATACAGGGCTACCAAGACATTACTGGCAGCAGTATGAAATACTTGGCCAAGAACACTCACAATAAACCTCACTTGCCTTTCAAATCAGTTAACCTGATGGAAGTTTGTAAGAAACATTAATGGGTCTGTCAGTATAAGCTTTAGGTTTCCATAAATTCTGCATCCTGGAAAGCTCTTACCATGTACATAATAGAACCTGGTTGTTTTATATACAACTGAGATTCATTTTAACTAATTTCACACAAATTAATCCCTGTGTCACAAAAAATGAAAAGTAGTAGCATGGAATAAGAATCAATATTTACAATAATTTTGTTAGTACTCTTTTAAGTTAAAATTAATATTACACAACTGCACTTGCATATACTGTTTAATTGCATTGTTTACTATTCATTGTTAAGTTGTAACAAATAAAGCAAACTGCAACAATTCCTATAACTAGGTGTAAAGTAACATTTTTTATGTAATTCATAATCAGAATCTGTCTGTATATGTTAATGCCCATAATTACTCTAACCAATAAATTTATATGCAGTACCTTCCAGTTTAAACTTTGGTTGGCTGTACTGTTAAAATATGTTTTATTTTTCTGTTTGAAAATTTCTAAACATAATTTCATATTCATTCAATAGTAAGGCTACTGAAGTATTTCAGACTAACTGGTGTACATTACTGTACATGTTTCTTTCATTTATCTGGACTAAAAGGAAAAGGAGGAGCACATCGATTCAGTAACTTGATACTGTCCAATAACACGAACAAAACACAAGAAGTTCTGAGAAGAACCGCCATATTTCCTTTGAAACGACACGGACCGCATAGAAAACGGGTCTTCCAAGAGTTCTTCGTTGCCGCAGTAATTGTTTTCAGAGCTGTTACCTTGCAACAGTAGGGGATACACAAACAGACCCACAACCATACGCGTCCAACAATTCATCTATTGTTGCATTCATTTTTAGCCGCGGGAACTTGTTTATCAAGCCGTTGCCTAGCAACGAAAGGAGGGATAAACTTTACCGAGCCTAGGTCTAGCAACTATAGGAAGGATCCACATACAGACACAAGCACTGATGGGAGGGATTTATGAAGTATCCCGATGAAATGGGCTTAGGTGCCGTGAATACATACCGAAATCATACATTATTTCATGCATACAAAAGTTAATGGGCGGGTGAAAGGATTCACAGACAGCATGGTGAGCGCACAGCCCATGACTATGGGGTACATTATATACTATTTAAATCGTAACTACCTTCTCCGGACCCAGCCAGTGGCTTAGAGTGGCTGTCGCCGAAAATGCCAAGAAAAAATTGTTTACCTTACGAGACACGTGACTCAGGCCTAAACAATTCATTCAGCATTTCTTTTTAACACATTTATCAGCCCATCTTCACGGAGGTCTCCCAGATGGTTTCTTTTCAGATCTCATGGTCAGAAGTTTGTACCCGGTTTCTCCATTCATTCTCAGAAGCCGTGTGTTCACCCACTTCGTCCTCCTTGATTTAATAATCCTAAACACATCAGGGGACGCGTAAAAATTATTAAGATTTTCATTATGTAATTTTCATTTCCTCTTGATTTAATAACCCCAAAACATTAAGGGAAGCGTCGAAATTATTTTGATTCTCATTACGTCATTTTCTGTCCTCTTGATACTTCTTTTTAGCAAAAATTCGAGTATTCTCCTAATTTTTACCTTCTCAAACAGCTTCCTCGTTGCTCTGTCATTCATTAGATAATTTATTTGTATATACATAAAACGCCATTACTTTCAAATTCTAGGTTAGCAGACAACAGCAGTTATCACAGATTCGAAGTCCTTGTACGTAATTACGTATACTTCATTTGTACACGAGTGTCTTACGTATTAACCAAATAAAATGCACATTTTAAAACCTATGTTTAATTACGTCCACATAACCTAAGGTTGTATTATCTAATATGCAGTGATCTGGTTGTAACCTTGAATTACTGTTATTACTATTAGGTGAATGCATTGTGCATTGTTTGTTTATTATTTTTGTGCGCAACACGACGAGTCTAGAAATACGATGACTATTTATTTACGCTGCGGCACCTCGTACTGTGAACGTAACCGTGACTAATATGATATTACCGATCCAAAGCATGGAATATTAAACACATTTGAAGAGAATCTAACCAATAATTCCTATGATGTTATAAGGCGACTCATACCAAACTATGGGTCTTTCACCAATTATTGTAATTTTGAAAATGTACTCAACACCCTGCAAGAATTAGATGTACTTTTATACACGTAAAGGAATCCCCATTTATCTTGACAGCCTCAAGTTTGTCCATGAGGAAGAATTCTGAGCCTTGTTTGTTTTACAATTTACGTTTTATATTTGTTGTCTGATGAATGTAAACAGGATTGTTTTATGCCTCTTTCAGAATAATCCATTATGATTAATGTTTTGGGTTTTATTAAAGTAACACTGCTTGCATTTAAGACTTGAATTTGATGTCACTAACAAACATTACTTGAAATCAGTTTATCTGTATGTACATACAGCACAGTGCGATGTGGCTAGTATTATGATCAACATGTGTGAGTAAATGATGGACAACAAAGCAATTATGCAGACTTAGTATTTTAATTTTAGTGACGCCATACTTTCTTCAGTGCCTGTTCATGTGATTTTGTTGACATTCACCTATCTAGGTTAAAGGGAATAAATCATGCTCTTCCAATATTCAAGTGTCCTTCAGGAACCAAACTTGATCTGCTGAAAATGTAGAATACAGCTTTCTGATGTCATCTGAAGTTCATTTACATCCAAGATTCTCTTTATAAGGTATGTATAAACTGCCCAACATATACATATGTTTGATGGAGGAAGGGATATTTCTCTCACAAAATTATCATCTTTACACACTTGTGGATTTCAGGGTATGTCACAAATTTTGCTGACATTTGTTTGCATTTATTATGCAATTTTTTCCAGCTTCCAATGCCTTACTACCACTTGGGTCCATATATTTCCAGTTTCTTATTCCCTAACACCCTGATTCTGTATTACTCGTATTTCCTCAGGATGACAGACAAAGTTCCCAATCCATACACTGCAATGTATGTATGTATGTATGTATGTATGTATGATGTCTGTTTTTGTTATGAATTTTAATATTTTATAATGTAACTGTTTGGATGATACGGCTTGCCAGTGTGTGGAATGACAAGGTGTGAATTTGATAGTTGTTTTTCCATGACCCTTGTGTGTTGTCCTGACAACTTGAGCTATCTGTGTGAGGCCTGATTATATATTTTATTGGACAAAGGACAAATGATGCATAGTCATCATGAATTTGTAATATGTGATTTGTTTTATATGCAGCCCTATGGGGAGATGATTGGATCCATGAAGTGAAAAATAAATATGTGATGTAAATGTAAAATGTCTGATGAAAGTTAACCAACATTTTGGAGGAACAATGTCACCATTGTCTTCATGGCTGAAGAGTGAACCAAACAAGAAACCAGCATGAAGCAGGGAGCAAGCTTCAACTTTCACTGTACTTCACAGTGTCATATCCCCGAAGATAGAACTCTTTGACAGAACAGTAATATGTGCTGGCAACCACAGGTTTCATTGGTTACTAAAAGTAAAAATGTCTTACAGTGAATTATGTATTTTCTAATATTGCTCATGTTTATGGGCTAAACTTTAAAACCATTACACACCCCTGCTGTAGGTCATACTCGAACCATTGAGCATTTCTTGGTGTGCTTTGTAATTTACTCTGGGGTATATCATATGGAGTGCAACAGGATGCTTAAATATAATATTACTCTGGGGCTTTGAAGGAATGTTTGATAGTACCCATGCATCTTTCTTGCCGGTGTGTGTTGGTAAGAATGCTAGCAGACATTTGATGCATAATGTCAAACTTGCAAAATTAAAACCATTACACACCGCTGCTGTGGGTCATACTCAAACTATTGAGCATTTCTTGGTGTGCTTTGTAATTTACTCTGGGACTTTGAAGGAATGTTTGATCCCAGGTCTGGTCATGTGGGATTTGTGGTGGACAAAGTGGTGCTGGGGCAAGTTTTCTCCGAGTACTTCGGTTTCCCCTGCCAATCTTTATTCCACCAACTGCTCCACAGTCACCCTCACCTATCATCTGGGGCTGGTACAGTAGGCCAGAAGTGGCCGCAGTACAAAGGACTTTGTCCCACCCCACTAGCAATAAAAAAAAACATTTTATTATGTTCAGTGATTGTGTCATGTATGTTTTATTATGTTATTTTGACTGTTCCAATGATTGGTTGGAGCATCTGTTTCGATATCTGACATATTCTATATCCAATGGTGTGTGAACTTGTTTCTCACTCTGTAACTGGATCTACTTGAATACATTAAATATGAACGAACGAATGAATGAATGAATGAATGAATGAATGAATGAAGAGTGAAACATGAACATATGCAACTCTGTCAAACAGAATATTTGGCATGTCATGCAGTTTTAACAGATTATCCAAACAGTAATTATGGAACAGTGTATTTTGGATCCTTAATGTTACATATGTGTTCTCACATAAACTTTGCTCTAGGTCCTAGAATGTGAGCAATTAGAACATTAGTCACAGGTGCAGTTATAATATTATAACTTCAAAATCATGATTCAGCTATTAATAGTGTTTATTTCTCCTAGATTTAATTTGTATGAAAAGAAACACCAGCTGCAACATCTGTGCTTTTCATGTGGAACATTGGCCATGAGTGGTCCTTGGAATTTCAGTGTTCAACAGGAACTGGAACAACAGCCACTTAACATGGCTCTCTTGCTCTTACAACAAGAACTTGCAGTGAGTAGGCCTGTACTGTAGTTGCTCAGTTCCAGCTATGACTTCCACATCCATAAACCCAAAAAGAGTGTATTTCATTATGATGGTAATTCCAGAAAGCAGTTGTCTTACCTTATCTTATTATGTTTCCCAGTAATTGCCTGTTATTTTATGTGTGCTGACAGCTGACATAGATTGATTCATCACAGTCAAAGAAGGACATTAAAATTTACACAGTTGTTTACAATGCATTAACAGTCATGGTTTTAGTTAGACAGAAACACATATGCTATTGAATATAAACACTGCTGATTGTACATTACAGGATTACATTACCACTTATGAAAAAGAGCCAAAAATAAAATACCCAAATTGTCACAGGTGACACTGACTACAAAGTCATCAACTACCAACTAAAGGATGTTTTACTTAAGCTAACCTTGCTGCCATCTTTGAGCCAATTGTCTAGATAGTGTGGGACCCTCAACATCTCACAACCTTATGGGCCTTCATGGCCTGGTAGAGGGATAGCTTTACTTTACTTTTTACAGTATGAGAATGGCAGTGCTGTGAAGGTTTATGACTTCATAGCTGATATATGACATAAACACCGTCCCAAGTGCAACAATTTATTGTAGTTCTTTTGTCTTGCCTTCTTCTACACTACATGTTTTGGCCACAAACGGCCATCATCAGGTGTATACACTTACGTAGCTGTTACACTGCACCTAGTTTAAAATTTAAAACCATGAGTCTTCCCAATTGTTCTTTTCGTCGTTACTAACAGGTTTCAGTTTATTAGAATCTACTTCGCTGATATCTGTCTGCTTTGTGCATTATCTTTGTTGCCTACACTCGTCAATTTTGATTATTATGAACCGGCACTTTTAAAATCTTCAGTTCTAATTTAAAAATTCTTTTAAAAATTAAAATTCTCAGGGTTACTTGCCCTATGTCTGTAGTGCTGCAGCGGCTACTTCTTGTTTTTAGCACTGTTATTCTGTGTAGGCTCCCTGTGTGCGTGGCGCTGCTTATCTATACTACACCAATTTGTGTGGTGTTTATACTACTCAAAACTCATAAAAAATATAGGTAAAGGTTTGCTTAATTTTTATTTTAATTAATTAATTAGCTACACACTTTATCAAGTCACTTACAGTTTTTGAAGTAGCTAACCTAACCTGAATGAGCAGATTTCTCATACCCATTATTGTAGACCATAGGATTAAATATAATATATCAAAGAATGCACAGCAGTTGAAATTAATTTGTAAGAATGTTTTGGCAGGATCTAGGCTCTGGAATCCTGTCTGGGAGACAGACTGCAAAAGAGGAACAGCATGCTGAAAATATTCCTTTAAAACATCTTGAGCCAACAGTCTGCATTAAAGAAGAACCCCAGCCTCTACCTGTTGATTACCCATACCATGCCATGCCAAATAACTTCAGCATGGTACCACAAGCTTGGTCAATGTCTCAGCCATTGCATATGCAATATGCAGAACAAACTTTTCCAGACTTGGCAGAAAAGACTATCTTAAACTTGGTAAGTATTTAGAATTTGTATGATACAATGATGTAATATATTTCTTTCCATGAGCAGTTGTGATCTTCTTAGATCCATAGTAACTTTCTGTCTCAAGGAACATATAACTGTGGAGGGAAGAAGGAGCACATGTTTTGGATGTATCAGTAATTCCATATTCAATCTTTACATACACTGGGACACAACAAAAGTCTTCAGGCCATAAAATTTTATCTGTTCAAAACAGTTACCAAGTGATATACTTAAGGACTTTTAATATGACAAATATTTGATTTTGCATCCTAGAAATTTGTTAGAAAAATGTCATATGACATATTCAGAAATAATTTCAATGAAGCATATGAAATGACATCCTGTCATCACTGATTATGCAGTACATTGAGATGTACCAATATATTTATAACATTTACTACATGTGTTCTACTCAATGTGTGTATTAATATTGATGTTTTATTTGGTCATGAATTCAGTTACATTATTTCATTGTTACAGGATAATATTAAGGAGGAAGTTGGACCAGAAAAGAGTGATATCCATAATGGAAATTTTAATCAGATATCTGAATGTAACAAATGCAATTTGGAACAATATCCTTCAGAATCTCTCAACAGGAATGAAATGTAAGCATGAGTATATTTTTATGCTAATTGATCTTAAAATGATTACATACTGTTCGGATTGGTATAATGAATTCTATTCAGTTGGAACAATTGTACACAGGTATTATACCAGCAGTCAACCCAACCTCCAAGCTGGTAGTAGACCCCTTGTCAGCTGTGTGTGACTGCTGTATTGTAGTTTCCGTAACTGACTGATGGACAAATTATTTATTTTCATAGGAGTGGCATAATATAAAAGATTCTTGACATGACTCTGCAACTCTTTGAGTAGTTTTAGATATGTGTGCTAATTGCAGATGCATTTTAATAATGAAGCAGCTTTGACTTCATCATTGCAGGTATTCTGAAAGAATGTGCAAAGCAGAGAATTTATACCACTTCTCACCAATTCCATATCATGGTCCTTCCACATGGTGCAGTATAAAGACATTTACAGGAAAGGAAACAGTGAACAGATGGGATGTTCAGGCAGAAAGTACAAGAAATTATAACTCTTTTATCAATAGAAACATACCTTCATTCCATAGTATGCATGGACAGAGTGCACTGCAAGGAGAGGTGGTTGTTCATGGGCCAATGGCACATCCAGATCAGATCCCACCAGTTTGTCATGTATGTGAGAAAGGCTTTGGTAGTAAGGAACAGCTTCTGACCCATATGATGGTGCACCAAAATCGTAAACCTCATGTCTGTGAAATATGTGAAAAAAGCTTTAGTTCTCCTGGGAATTTGAAGACACATGTAATGACCCACACAGGTCAAAAGCCACACTCTTGTGATAAATGCGGCAAAAGGTTCACTACATTGGGAAATCTTAAAACCCATTTTGTGATCCATACTACAGAGAGGCCCCATCCTTGTCAGCAGTGTGGGAAAGGATTCACAACTCTTGGAAACCTCAAGACACATTTACTGACTCATACAGGTGAAGTATACATATACTTACTTGCTAATGGAGCTGAGCCCTTCTTGAGGAGCTGCAAATTCTGCAGCTACTCAAGAATTTACCAGTATTTTATGGAACCTGAAAGTTCATTATCATGTTCACAAGAGCCCTCCACTGGTACCTATCCTGAGCCAGATCAATCCAATCAATGTCATCTTATCCTATCTCTCTAAGGTCCATTTTAATATTGTCAACCCACCTATGCCTTGGTCTTCCCAGTGGTCTCTTTCCTTCTGGCTTTCCCATCAATATCCTATATGCGTTCATCTCCCCCCATTTGTGCTACATTCCCTGCCCACCTCATCCTCATTGACTTGATCATTCTAATTATACTTGGAGAAGAGTACAAATTATGAAGTTCCTCATTATGCAGTTTTCTCCAACCTCCTTTCACTTCAACTCTCTTTGGTCCAAATATTCTCCTTAACACCCTGTTCTCAAACACCCTCATTCTGTGTTCCTCCCTTAATGTCAGAGACCAAGTTTCACACCCATACAGAACCACAGGCAAAATTATAGTTTTGTATATTCTAATTTTTATGTTTTTGGAGAGCAGATGAGAAGACAAAAGGTTCTGGACTGAATGGTAGCAAGCATTGAACTATACATATATATATACACACACACACTCACACATACACATACGACNTCTTTCAAAGCACAGCATGCTTCCAAGCGACCTTTTTTTTTGTTCTGCAGTCAGCAGTCGTGCCACGAATTTCGCAGCCACCCTTTTCATTCCCAAATCTTCTGTCAAAATTCGCTGAACTGAGCTCCAGGTCACTCCCGACAGCTCCACAGTTTCTTCAATGGTTCGTCGTCGTGTTATACTCGAGTATAACACACGCAGTCACAGGAGCAAGACACAACAAAAGCACAACACACACACGATAGTGAAGGAGTGCTCCAACAGAGGAGGATGGGCGTGACTGGCGTAGTGAGGTGCGACGTAGCGATGAGGAATCCTGAACAATTTTAATATTTTTAACGTTTGACATTTGTCAGTGTATATGATAGATATATATTTTAGTTATTTTAATGTGAGGACAAGGCATGCAATGAACTAGTTTGGCGTGGATTGAGTAAGCACCTGAAGATGGCATTTTTATGCTGAAACATGTAGTGCAAGTGAGAGAAGGAGACAGATGAGTGTATGCACTGCAAGATGGTTCAAATAAATCATGGACTTAAATCAGTGCAACAGGACGCTAAAATATAACATTTGACATTTCACCATTTTTGAAACGACAAAACCACTCAAACACTTGAGTTTTCCCCATAGCATCGTCCTTGTACCCCGTTTTTAACATTTCAAGAGTTTCTGTTCCACTTNGAAACTAGTCCTTACCTTCTGAAGCAACGGTAGTCGGCTTATCGACTCAGGAATGTTAGCTCTATGTGCTCATAGCGGCAAAACGCAGTACTACAAAAGCTCTGCCCACAAAAAAATTAGTTCGGTTTCTTTTGGGTACCCCATCGTATATATATATATATAGAGTAGAGTAGTATCTGCAGATGATAAGTGCCTCATTAGGTACCTTCTAATAATCCTATAACATACTACCTGTAGCAGAGTTCGTAGGTGATCAAGATAATGTCACACTCCATTTTACTTGCAATCATTACAAATTTCAAAGCAGTTTTATTTCCCTTTTCTGTTCTTTATTAAAATTATGCAAAACTTAACATGGACCTCAATATCACTCTAAAACATGAATTTCTAATTTGTTGTGAATGGACAGGTTAATGTGCAGCATATCCATGAAAGACAGTACAAAAGATACTTGGTGTTAAAAATTTTGTAAATTTTCAAATTAAGTGTTAGCTTTGTTGTTCGCCCAGTCTGAATGAGAAGTCAGTACGTTATAAAGCGAGTCCAGGAAAGGGTATGCAAAATGGGACAACAAACCCCATTACCTTTCTTGGGTCCTCTTGACAATCACTTGGGATCATCATACATTTAGGGAAACAAAATAATAAATGAGTTAGTGATGCAGTAGAGGTAGGACCCAATGGGTTTGTAAATAACATAAAAATAACCACACTGAGGCTGTGACATAAGGCCTTATGTGTTTGCAAACCTGATCACTCCTCGTGGTGTGGTTATGCATCTGCAATACAGTGGATGATAGGACTAAGGCCTAATAACAAGATAATAGAATGTCACATAACTGAATGATAAAATGAAAAATTGACAATCAGCCTGATGAAGAACTGTAGACAGAAATAAGAATACAAAGCAGTGGGACCCTCCAGAAGTAACCAAACTGGAGAAAAGCATGATAAAGACGAGACTTCAGAATACAGGCCAAACACAATGTAGAAAGCTACACACTCACCTTGAGGTCCCCAGATAACAAGAAGAGTGTCTAACTGCCCCACAAGCTTTCCCATAGCCAAAGTAGTTGTAAGCTCCAAATCCATGATCAGAGCATGCACTTCAACCAGCAGGCAGAAGGGAGGGAAATAGGTAAGGAAACAGTAGACAGGAGTTGAACAGCAGAGGGTGTACAGGAAGGCACCTACAGGTTATGTCAGAAAGTAACATCCACTGATCCAGGCAAGGTAGGGCATGACTAAACCTCCCCCTCTTGAGGGATGATGGGGTACATCCATAATGTCACAAGTGCTTGTTGGCATTTCTTCTGAAGGACAGTGGCATCCACAAGGGAGCAGGAACAAAACCTTGGAAACCAGAATGACAATTCGATTGTTTTGAAAATATGGTTCTTGCCATATTACTAGCTACATCATGCTTAGATATCCCTCTTGAATGTGTGCATTCTGACTGAAAGTATCCCACATAGTTACATCTCCAGCAGTGATTGGCATTAGATTGAATTTCTTGCTTGCAGGACACTACAGAATGTTGACATGCTAGTAATAGCATTGATTGACAAAAAGAGAAAGGATTGCTCATCCTATAACATGTTCTGCAAACCAGTGGCCTCTCTAGTACTGCTGTTATCCAATTGATCTTCTTTTTCAGTTATGTGGAAACATTCCAGGAATTCACTCTTATTGCCATACAAACATTAAAACCATGGACAAAAAATCCTATGTAGCACATGCTGCCAGAGCCTGTTTATTGCAGACCTCCTGTAGAAAGTTATAGCACTAGAAGGTGTGACAGAAGGGCTTATTCCATTTATAAATTCAAGAGACAGCAATATGTTTTCATGCTGGATCAAACTTTCTTCAGAACCAAATTCAACTGATGTGCATAACAGTACACATTTTCTGTATGAGTAAAATTTTCTTTCAAGAGAACCTTTACCCTGCCATGAGCTCTGCCCATCACCACTGTGCCATCATATGCTTGAGCATCTAATCTGTTCTTTAAATTAAATTGTTGGAGCTCTTCTGTTTGCACGTAACTAAAACCCTCTGCACTTATGTTTTCAGCCTCAACAAATTTTATGAATCTCTCCACATGCTGGCTATGTGTATCATACCACAGTATAATCACAAACTGAGACTGACAACATCCGTCTGTTTGTAAAGCTATGAAATTTGCCTTTTCATTTTAGGCCTTGATTTTCTCCATGTATATTTAGTACATGCAGTCAATCATTTCATGTAGTATGGTTTTGGATGTGTTGTTCTGCCACTATACCATTGATAAGGTGATCTAAATTTCTACTGAGTTTAGCTGTTTGAGAAGGCAGTTCCTAGGAAATTGCTTGATTGAGGAATTAATGTGTCTTACAATGTCCACATAATGCTAACTCATGAATTCAGCAAAATTTAATACACTTTATAATTTTGTTGGACAGTGTCTGCATTTATCAACTAGATAATTATGTCTCTTGATAGCCATTTTGTAATTCTTGTCAAGTTGAGACTGAATATTGACAGCGACAGATGGTTTCACTTTTACAGAATGGTGATGTTTCTTTTTTCACATTTTGTGATGACTGTTTTAAATCTGTATACCAATTGCAGGTCCATATAGATTCACCACCAAATTGTAACAAGAAACAAAACAGAGGCTTCATTTTCTTCACACAGTCAACCATGCCCTTCTGTTCAAAATAACCTAGTTTCTTAGAGTGAACTTGTCTTCTATTGTCTGGTGTGAAAAATGGAGTTCTAAAAAACTTGCAACCATATTAGTATTTTGGTCTTGTAATTGGAATATAAAATTACACTATAACATAAATAAAAAACACTGGAAACCTAAAATGTTTTCTCCAGGTGTGAAATCAAACCAAACCATTATCTGCAGTAGATGGGAGAAATGGCATGTTTTGACATGTGGAAAGACACAGATAAATATGTATATCTATGAGGGCCAAGATGTGATGCCCTGAATCAACATTTCCTCATGAATATTTTTAAGAACATGGTCTTTAGTTGACAGACAATAAAGTATTTTTTCTTGTCTTTGATATTAACATTTCTACAGTATGATTATCCCTTCTTCCTTCATTGTTCTATGACCAGATTGCCACCCAGAACTGAGAAATTGCACTACTTCATAGTGTATTGCAGGAGAGGCATTTGTTTCAAACTTATTACCATACTTGCTTCCTCATGCAAGAAAATCTGCACTCCAGTTTCAGGAACTGGTTTTGTTGTTTGTGGTAGTTGCATGTACATAATAATTCTACATTCTTTCACACTCACATCATTTCTGTGACCACCTTCAGACATAATTTTAGTGGTTCAGTCCAGATAAAGAAGAATATTCCCACATTAAAATAGCCTGTCTTGGAATTTAACATATATAAAATTATACTACACTGTTTATAACTATATGAACACACAATTAAGTTGTCTTACAAGAAACATATCTAAAGGTATTTTAATTTGATTACTGATGGTGAGTCCTGCTTTATCTCTGCAGGTGAGAGACCATATGTATGTGAAGTCTGTGGGAAACGATTCACAACACGAGGCAATGTGAAGGCTCATTCAGTGACTCATACTGCAGAGAAACCATTTGTTTGTCATATGTGTGGCAAGAACTTCAGTCATAAAGGCAATTTAAAGACACACATTGTGTCAAGACATATGGCTAATAAGCCACAATATGATTGTGTAATGTGTGGAAGACATTTTATGCAAGCAGAAGCACTAAACACACACATAACATTAGTACATGCTGCTACATCTGTACCTCTTTCCAATTTGCAAGATGGGCTTCAGCATGAAGAGCCACCAGTTTTCTTACCATTGAAAGTGTAGTGAGTTTTTAAAGTGAAGTCCAGTGGCAACTGTCTTGAACCTGTATAGGAAAGTCTGATAATAGAAAATGAAAAGTGTTTGTTTTTCCCTTCACTTTATAAACTGCTCAGAATGAAGTGTAAAACAAAGGCAATACTCACACATTTTGTTATTACATATTTATGAAGTACTAGGAAGTATATCCTTTTATTTTGTTCCTGTTCCTTTTGTATTGAAGTATTGAAGTTGACTAGTATTCTGATCTTCACATTCAGACAGACCTATGCATGTGCAATGTTAGTCAAATATGAAATATTTTTTATTTTCATTATGTAAATTAGATAGGTCTATTAAAACTGAAAGAAGTTCACATCAAGATCTAAATGGGTACATAAATGATAACTCTAGAGGGTTTATATTTAGCTTAAGCTTATGCTGATCCAATAACCAAGTGTGAGAAAAACATTTTAAACAAGATTACAACATTCAATGTTGTGAGTTTTTATGTCCCATGATCATGAACCAGTACAAAATTACTATAAGTTTCCCCATATGTGCACATAATGAACCCACCATGGAAGAATATATGCAAAAAAAAAACAGTAAGAACAAGAACATTAGAGACTGGAATAGAGGAATAATTGAATTTAAGAAGGGTTACCAACATAGAATTAACATAGTGAAGGATGAAAATGGTAATCTGCTTGCAGGTTCCCACAACATTTTGAACAGGTGGAAGAATTACTTTTCTCAGCTATTGAATGTATGTAGGGCCAATAGTGCTTGGAAAATATAATTAAATATAGCTGAGCCTATTCCTTTTGAGGTTGAAATTGCTGCTGCTAAGTCAAAAAANAAATTCTGAAATTTTATGTCCCATTTAATATTTAAGGTCATATTTTTACACTTTTTAGGTCATATTTGACATAATTTTGGGNAGTATAAATCTCCAGGTAGTGATCAAATTTCAGCAGAACCGATTCAGGCAAAAGGTGAAACATTATGGCCCGAGATCCATAAACTCATTAATTCTGTATGGAGTAAGGAAGAAATGCAAGCATCGTATCATATGTTGCTAGAATTTTGATCATAAGGACTGCTGAGAGAATGNTATATTCCCAAACACAAAATAAGTTAGAAATGAATTTACAAATTTTAGAAGCAAGTCTTATATAACATTATATATGAAAATGGAAATAATATGTCTAAGGAAAGGCTGCTAATTCACTCACTGAAGCAGCCTTTGAAACAGGGCTCTTGGCCAGCTTTGGTTAATACTGTATCAAAATACTTTATTAAACTTCTGTAATACTGAGAGAAGACATTATTTACTAGGTAACTTCATGGAGTAGAGTCTTAAAAACCTAATAGTTTCTCAGCTTTTCATAAAATGTCCTGCCTTTTATGG